AGGTAATTAGTAGTACTCAATCCAATAGACTTCCTGAGACTGCTGGCCCATGTAGTTCATACGCACAAATAATCTGCAACATGCCGTAGCTCAGTTATATTATTGTTAAAGTCACTTAATTTGAAGCTGTTTTGTGTAGTAATTGAGTGCTTAGCCCTTCAACTCATGTCATTAAATTACAGTGAAAGCCTTTGCATAAACAGGGCAAAATGGTGAAAATACAAGCAGCCTACTGTTGAAAAGTATTTGACACAAAAATCCCCACAAGTCCAGCTGAGATCAAGGCATAAATTGTCTCAAGGAGAGTGAAGTCTGGTTAGTTTCCTTTGGTGACAGTAAGAAGTTCAACATGCACGATAAGGCTGATGACAAGTAGAGCTACAGCTACTATTGACCAATCTTGCATTCACATTCACAGCATCATCACAGTAAATGTTTAAATGAAAAACAGCCCATCCCAATAATTCTGTCTTTTCACACAGAAATTTATGCAGAAATCAAGATTCAGACCATGAGGTAAGGTATCAATTGAGCAGATAAAACAGAGCTAGCGCACTTTTTCCTGGATCGGATAATCTTACCTTGATAAAGAACTTAAAGCACGCAATACACATTTTCTGCTTCAACAAACTGTGAATATTTTTTTTTAAATTACAATTTTTCTTTTATCTATCCTAGCTACCATGATAGACATGGTAAATAAATCACATTAGACAGTAATACATGTTGTTGAGATACGCGGCAGTGTTTTGCTTTTATTTCAGGACTAACAATGCTGGAAACATCCAGGAAAACAGCTCATACAAGAACAGTTTGGTGGTTTGGAGATACTGGAACTAACACATCACATTTAACAGTCAGCTTTGCTATGCTTGGAAAAAATTCTGGTGTTTGGGACACGTGTGGAACATGAGAAAAAGTTACCTACATCTCATGTGCAAAACTTAAGTTACACCATAAGAACAATTGTGAAATAAAAAAAGAATTGTACATTCAGCACAAGAGACATCATCACCAAAATGAGCCAGGCAGGTAATTCAAATCAGAGTAAACATAAGTTTAGCTTATATATGCTTTCCATTCATTTTTAATTTTAATTCCATTTTTCAGTACTTCCTAAAGAGAAGTATTTTCTGAAAATCTATACTAAAGTGAAGGTGATAATTCCAATGTTAAATTAGTGTAGTACTAACTTGTAATGCAAAGCAAAATAATATTACTTCTATTGACTTATTTTAGTAACTTGTAAACAGCATTCTTCATTTGTACAAATGGCAATGAGAAATTTCTTACATCGGTATTGTTTGAGAACTAATTGAAGTGCATGCTAAAAAATGGATTTTTAGTTGTTTTAAATAGCTTCTATCACTGATTTCTCAAATTAGACATAATTTTATTCTGAGATGGAGATAACTCTCTTTCGTAATCCAAAACCTTCTGATCTATTGTTTTAAGAATGTTTTGGAAATAAAAAGACATACAACATCTTCTATTAACGGCTAAGATTTGTCGATAACGCTGTCTTTGTTACGGAAATACCACAGCTTTTTTCCTATTTACAGTCATCATTTTTAAGTGCTCGTTTTTTCAGCTGAGACTGTTTTGTTGTTATAATGCAGAAACATAACACCATCTCTATGATGAACACTACACCTCTGGAAAAAAAAAAGCTGACTTTTCTTTATAGAAAGAAAACCCTGAGGCATGAAAATTCTGTTCTCTTGGTCACAACATTCAAAAGCATTCAGTAAACCAATAAGACACTGGTACATTGTTTCACAGTTTCTGAATTTTGAGCTAAATATATAGATTCACGAGGTATGCACAAGCAGACATTAAGACTTACATACACAAATGCTTGGAAACACAAGCCACAGAAAAGGAAGGTTGATCTCATGCAAGGACCTCCACAGAATTCCACAGATCTTTCCATGTCTTGCACCAGTAGAACAAAGCAGTTGGGCTGTTGGATTGTCTCACTGCTATTAAAGCCTTCTAACACATGGATCTACAACCTGAATTCATGGAGGGATAATGGAGTCATACTGGATGATAAGAATAGATGTTGGTGGGTTGGTGTTTTTTTTTTTTTTTTACATAAACAGCTTCTTGGAAATAAAAGGCTACATAGTCAGTAAACAGAACCTTCCCCTTCTTTGTCTCAGTTGTCTCCTACAAAAATCAAGAGTAAAGTTCATATTCAGTTTATCACACCACAATATTTTGCTTTCAGGTGCTCTCTCCTCTCTTTTCCTCTTCCCCCGCTTTCAAAATGCATCTCCAAGCTACTAATATTCCAGTAAAGATATTTAACCAATGTTAGTCACCTTAGATTAAACAAGCATAACAACTTAATCTCCAAGTGCCACAGAAGGAGAGTTATGCTGATCCTTCCAGTTTCTTGTCTTTTCTAGTTCATTAGGGGATTCACAGTAGATAATATCTAGTCATTAATATGTGGTTATATTTCTAGCCAAAAGGGACAAATTCATAGTGGGGGAAAATGCCATCTTGAGCCTACTGGGGGAAAAAAAGCAAACAAACCAGCCAACCCACCCAACAGAATTTAGGTCCTAATCCTGCAAATGTGCAGTTATTAAAAAACGATTAAACAGTATTATTCAGAACATAAGAAAAAACTTGTGAAATGAAACTAAATAAAGTTTCATAAAAACAAACACATCCTCCACTTTTTTGCATTGCTGGAGTTCCTTGTCCAAAGAAGTGGATGTATAAATAAGCACTTTTTAGGAACAACTTCCCTTTTCTCTTAATCTAGCCTTTTTTTCTTCACAGATCTCTGGAGAGCACTCCAAAATAGAGAAGTTGATTTTATTTATTAAGTTAAGATCCATCCCCCTCCAATATGGAAAGAAAATTTGAAAAAAATAATAAACAGACTTTCAGACTTTTTTTTTTATTTGTTAAAGCCAATTCCTATATTTTCTTCATAAAAATTACTTAGCTTGTGTCCATGCTATTCTTGCCCAAACGCCAAAGTTGCTCTAAGCAGGCATTAAATTCAGACTGGCACCCCGTATGTCTAGTGTCAATACGGTCACTTTTGCTTCAGAACAGCAAACCTAACATCTTAGAAAATTAAACCCCTTAATCAGAGAAACATGATCACTTCTCCAACCAGGTAGGTACTTATAAAACACTTTAGTTACTTCCCTATTTTTCCATTCCCATCTTTTTAGAGTCCTTCTATTATTGTGGTATATAAGAAAGAGGGTCAGGTCAGACCATGCCAGCACATTGTCTCACACATAATGGTTCCAGCCAACACCCGTACTTCACATACCTTCTGTCAAGCCTCCCATCCCTTCACTATTGCATCAGACTGTCTTCCAGTAAGTCATTCAAACTCTCCCTCTGCCAATTTCTCCCTTTGTACTTTCTACAGCAGTCATTTTGCTGTCCTCTGCTGTTTCAGACATCGGGAAAAATGCACTGAAGACACAGGAAGAGAGCCTCATTCCTTGTTTCTGTGGCACAGCAGCCAAGAGGAACAATTTCAGATAGACACCAGCTCAGCCCCAGTAGCATGCTGTAACACACTGGTTTTCCAACTGTTTTTCAAATTATAACCCATTAAAATATTTGTCAATAGAGACAAAATACTATGACTTAAGACCTGATGATAGGCTTGAGTATCAAATGCATCTTGTGAATTTCTCAGAAGCAGCTTAAGTTTCTTCCAGTGGGTCTGTGGATCACAAGCAGAAACCTGTTTGAGGTAGAGGGATATTCAGTTGCTCTGTGTGTATAATACAAGTGTGGTCTGGCTGGTGCCCTAGAGATTTGAGAGGGAAAAAAAAAAGCATGCTCAGTGGAGACGAATCTTCAGAATACAGAACAAAATATGTAACAAAAGTCATGTCTCCAACTCCAAGAGCATTCCATTATATTTCAAGTCCCTAACTCAAATATTGAAGACAGGAGAGGCTTTTAATGAAATGTATTCCCTAAATTCATTCTCATACACAGATTAATAGTTTGACCAGAAACTTTACAAAATAAAACGGAAGTCTGGTATACTTTGAGTCCAGAAGAAAGGAAGTTTGACAAGCTTTCATGCAGCTGGAAACATCAGGTAATTGTAACTAAAACTTCAATACCAGCTCCACATCTGCATTAAGCAATCATTAAAGGTGGGCTTTAATGTTTAAATTTTTAAAGGTTATAAGGAAAGATTATTTACATAATTCAATTTGATACTTAATACCTCCTTGTCCTTCCCCAAGTGGCAGTGATCACTGTCAACCCTACACACTGTGTATTATAACACAATAAGCAGAGAAGAGGTTAGTAAGAAGAGCCTATGCTTTGTTTTTTAACCCATTACAAAACTCTAACATCCTACATGGAGATGTAAACAATCTCATTTACAGAAAAAAATAAAGAGGTGTCCCCACAGGTAAAAATAAATCCTTTCAGTAAAGGCAACAATGTAATCAAAATATATTTATAAAATTTTGGCATAGGTCTACTTGCACGGTCCATGCCAAGAAACTGTATGGAGAGGATGTGTAAGATGGGTAGGAAGGAGAAGAATGGGGTAATACAGTTTGTTACAGGATTAAGCTATATGTTCAGAATTCTCTATATAGAAATACAGAAAGACATTCTGCAGAGCCTGATAGTAAAGAGCAATTCATAACAGCTAGCCACAGTGCATGGAATTCCTTTTTTTCCTTAGCACTTGCTTGAGAGATACATTAGGTAATAGTACTGCCATGCTGCCGAATAATACCAGAATTACGAAATTTATCAGTACAGCAATTTTACTGTTAAGAAAATTGCTAATGAAGACCCTAATGAACAAGAAGAGTTTTACCAGGAGCATACAAAGTCAAGTTACATTGATACCATAGATATTATCTCTGTGCTTTAAAATACTTTTAGTATTTCTACTTTCATTCTACTGGAAAAAAAAATAAAAATCAAGATAAATCAAATACATACAGAAACACACTCACTCAAATGGCACGCATTGCTTTTTGTACAGTTAAGCTTTAGTGAAAATATACATCTTAAAACAAATGAAGTACAAATGTACAAAAATCCTTGAACTCAGATAAAAAATATATATAATACAATTTGCTACAGAGATATAAAACATTTAAAGTTTGCTCATCCTTTCTGATGAAAGTAAAATGATTTAAAGTCTGGAGGACTCCTGCTCATCATCACTGCAATCAGATTTAAAGCAGACCTGCAAGAGAAGACAAAGAGACAACTGAGCTGCAGAGCTGACACTATTGTTGGTTTGTGTGTTTTGTGGGGCACAGAAAGGCTGGGGGAGTGGGGGGTGGCTCTTTTTCCAGCACATTTTACTCCACAGTAACTAAATGCTTTGGGAATATCAAAGGAAATCACAACCCAACCCCAAATCTCAAGTCATTACAGTTTCATTTAACCTTAAGATCTTTCCTTCTTTTAACTTCACAGGACAATTAACTGCAGTCTTATTACTTCAAAACCAACTGAAGGTTATCAAGCTGGATTAGGTTTTTTTTCGGACTCTTTCTCAATACATAGAACCATATCTTGGGACACTATGAACCCCGCTGGTTCAGCTTGAAAAGTCTACACTAAGACACAAGCTTTAACTTCAGCTATGTGAGATCATTAGTACACTTAACCATTCCTTCTATTCCATTACTGTAAGTGGGGGAAGAGGGAATTTGAAAAGGTGAACTAAAAATGACAGTACTATTATACATTCCATTAGCATTGTACCATTTTAGAGAGGTGAATGACAAAAAATATCATCATGCAATTTTAATACATGGCCCTGTTGTGGCCACTTAATGATATGCTCCTAGCAATTTTAAAATTCCATTTCTGCTTGAAAGCAAAAGTAGTTTCTACAGAAGTGTTCTCTACTGGAATATACTCATGCTTCTCAAGATAATTCCACTCTAAGTGCAGGCATACTGAGCAAGCAGAATTGTGTACAACATCTTCAACTGAAAACCTTTACAAAGAGCCTATTCTGATTGACCTATAAACAAGCACGATATGCCACCTGTCTTTTAGGTGGTAAATACTCCATTCATATACCTCTAAATGTTTACTGAAGAGTAGAAGTTATGTCTGTAAGAAAGGGCTCTGTATTATCAGAAGCTATTTAAACATGTATTATGTTGTTTTGGTAAAGGCATTAAACTTCCTAAGATATTTTAGCATTTGTTTCATGACACTTTTTCACACTCATTCATTTAGCGGATATTTTTACTTATTTGCTTAATATACTAGAATGATTCATTGGGAGCCCAGCTTTCTAAAGGAGCGAGTCCTAGAGTTGCATCGCTGCACCACACTCATTTCTGAGTTCATTAGTCGATTTCATTTAAGTTTTTACAGAGGGGGCCTCAATTATCTCTGAAGTCATCGCCCCAGAAGTTTTTATAAAAAATGGCAAAATACATAAGGAGCAAGACCCAAATCTTTAGGAAAGAAAGATCTATAGCACAACTGTAAACAACACACACTACATTCACACCAGATAACAGCTAGCAGAGGCTAGAGGAAGGCAGAATGCTGAGGGAGAAAAAACTCCTAGAGTTATAGGGATTGCTACAGTTTCTGAAATGCAGTGCAGGGGCAAAGCCATAATAAACCAGATTTAATTTGTTTCAGTATTCAACGAACAACTTGGTTTTTCTATCACAAAATAATATAAAAAATTGAATGAATGTTAAGGTCTTATTGGTAATTTTCTTATGAAAGGAAATAAATACCCTTACCTCTCCACTAAAAAGTCTGTGAAAGAAGCCCCTCTTTGGTTTAGGAGACCTCTCTCTGTCTGGTGATACAGTACCATCAGTTTCATATGCATTGATATCTTCAAAGCATCCCGTTTCAATCATCTTTAAAACATATGAAATATAAATGAAATATCCATACAAGCCTCTCAAACATGTTCCATTTATTATCTATTTACTCTGGCTGGGTACTCCTAACAAACTTACAAATTCATCAGCCAAACTACACCACTTGCTGAGCTTCATGAAGACAGGCACATTAACTCTCTTTGTGCATTCTGCAAACTAAAGAATCGCAATGAGAGCACTACCGTGCAGGTAAGAACTCAGATGCTCCCTTGCTTTGTTAAGGCATTTCTTCTGCCCATGATGCAATAAGCACAAGTTTTTAGAACCAGAAATTGATTTTCCTTTCATCTATTCTGCTAATTTCAGAGCAGCCTAACCTAGCAAATATAATTCCTCTATACCATGGACTGAACTTTATTAATAAACATAACATTGAGTAGGAGAAATGATTATTCTATGCAGAATACGAGTACCTGCATAATATTAGGGGGGATACTTCTTACGAAGGGGACAAACTGCACTCTCAGGGAAAAAAGCAACTGATGTCTGACTACAGTAATTTAATCATTCTGGTGTTTTGGACAACCGTCTATCAAAACACAGCTAACACATAGTAAAATTAGAAGGTAATACATCATGGAAAAAAAAAAAGATATAATGAAGACAGGTCTCTGCAGAGAAGCAAGGGATTTTGCAATAATCAGTGTTTGTGTATACAGAAAACGAAAGAATTAAAAACACAATTAATGGGTGCAGAAAGGACAGCAGAAAGAGTAAATGCTAAAATGTAAAACAGACATGGTCAGAAGGAGGAGAGTGGTTAATGCTCACATGTTGGCATTTATTGGTGAGTGCCACTGATACCCACCTATCGTAACAGGCACGGAACCAAATAAGCATACCTTGTAGAGGGAGAGTGGGCATAAAGAGGAACAAGAAGAAATGTGGTCTGCCTTTGTTGCAAACCATGACATTAGGTAAATTATGGGAAGGGAAGAGGAATTCTTAAGAGACTGAGAGCAAAGATTTGAGGGAAAGCTCAGTAACATGAATTAAAAGAAAAAATAAGCAGAAATGCAAAATGAAGTCTGCAGTTATTACTTGAAGAGACTGAATTACCGTCACCAGAATTCCACAACTACTTTCAGCTTTATCCCTCTAGGTGGGGTTAGAGTTATTAAGCTGCAGTGCATTTCTTAATGACTGCATCATAATCTGAAGTTCAGAATTACAACACAGCGCAGGAAATTTTTATTTCTTCAACAGCCTAAGGTTCCTTGCTTCTTAGTGAAGACTTTCTATGTCAAATGACACGTTTCAAATCTCCTTTGCAATGAAATGCAAAAAAAAAGCAAAAGGGAAACAATAGGGAATGTACTTTTTTCTCTGACTTTTTCAGAAATTGCTCATCTTTTGTGTTCAAGCTTTAAATAAAATAAAAAAAATCATACCAGGGAAGAAACTACACTAGTAGAATTCAAGACAATACTAGTTTCAGAAAGTTATGAATATCTTATAATAGGAGGAAGGCATTCATAACAAGAACTAGAATTATTCTAGTAACCAGAATTGTTACTGAGTGCTCTTCCTGAAATAATGAAGAAGAACTGAATTTCCTAAACACAGACTGAACTGCATGCAGAGGTAGCAAAATTCTAGTATTCTATGCAGAATACCAGAATACTCATTCACTAGGCAGACGAAAAAGCTTTAAGAGAAAGTCTGACTCAACCAATGTTGAATTGTTTGTTTTGAAACTTTAGAAAAGGTGAAATCTGCAGTTCTGTATTACTATGTCACCTGGATACTCTATTGATATACAGGCATGATACACAAATAGCTTGCACTGCGCCTATTTGCTTTTGAATACTTTGAATAGCATTCTATCCCTCTCCTATGAACAACAATATTGAATAACGTGATAGAAGAACAACGAAAATGTGGTGATGCTGATGCTAAATACTGTTCTGTAAGCTGTATCTATGATGACAAGATGTCAGGTTCTATTTATGCACATTTACCGTAGATCTCAATTTTTAACAAGTTGTTTATGTTTTGAGCAAAACTTTTTTCAGAAGTCTTTTAGCAAAGTAGTCTAAAGCAGAAACTTCTTTACATCTCACAGAGAAAGTTAATACTATAATTATATCCCTTATTAAATCTTCTATACTGCTGTGCTAAAGAAAAGAATCTTTTATGAAGCATACAATACCTCATTTTGCCAAGGGATTGAGACACAACCCGTAACAAATTTGGAATAGAAGTCATCATCTGTAGTATCCAGGTTCACTCCTTTTACTGTTGAGAACTGCTCTATGTCCAGGACATCTTTACAATATACGGCACGTGGCTGCAGTACAATACAAGATTACTTCATTAAGGTTTTGGTTTTGAGGTTTTTTTGTGGTTTGGGTGTGGGTTTGGTTTTGGTTTTTTTGTTTGGTTTTTTTTCTTTTTTTTCTTTCCTAGATGAGCAAAGGGGGAGCAAATGTCTGCAATTTTATATTTCACATTGCTGATCACCAAATTACACTATACTACAAAACAGAAATGCAGAAACTTAAAAGACTCTTGTCGTGGGGCACCTGAGCAATTCCATCCATCCTGCATGTAACAGAAAAGAAACAGCAAAACCAGGAACAGCATGCAACTTCTTTGGATTACTTAATGGTTGTTATCATTCACTCATCTTCTGTCACCCTCCTTTCAACTCCAGAGTAATTTCTTCAAAGCTGATCTTCATTTGTTCAGCGTCTGAGCTAGGGAAGTAGACTTTTAAGGGCTAAGTAATCAGCTACAAAACTCCTTAGAGCAATACCACTGTTGTAAATTGTTTTGTGATCTCAGATGAAATGTCACAAAACTAGGCATCAATAGCTACAATGGCCTTCTCCTGCCAATTTAATTAACTTTAAAGGTTACTCTGAAGTTCATGTGATTGCTGACATAGAATTATGACAGTTCTTGCCTTTTTAGATACTAATCAAATCTGTCTCACCTACTTACATCTGGCAAGAATGGAGGTTCTAACATGTTAGCTTCCAGCCTCTTGAAGTTAATATTCTTGAAAATAGGATGTTGCTTTACCATAGCAGCTCCATCTTCAGTGCAACCCAGTCGTTCCCCTGGATTTTTAGCAAGTAACTGCAAAGATAAGGAAAAAAAGCTGATCCAGTGATATAATTCCACAATAAAAAAAAAAAAAAAATCTATATACAATGTCTTTCAATAAGTTTATTTTGTTACTTGGCCTTCTATTAGATGAAACTTGTCATGGTATCAAAACGAACTGGAAATCCAAACTACAATATTCTGGGAGCAATAAGATTTTCAGTAGACAAAAGAATCTCTGAAAGAAGACCTTTTGAAGATTATACCCACAGTTACATGAAAATATTTTAATTGATGCCATGCTAAATAGATTTTACAGTACAGACTTTGCAGTAGACATTACTTTCAGGAAATACAGACTTACTTTTTTTTCCAAAAGTAATGCACATATTTTGCATAAACTAGTGAAGTAAACTTTTGAAGCTTTCCATATAGACATATTTTTTTACTAAATTTAAGAACATGCAAGATAAAAAAAAAGCTGTTGTCTCGTACAGACTCTTTTAGGGAAGGAAACTAGTATACTGCTCTGCCATTTCTCCCCATACAGTATCAAAGTTGAGCATGCTGTTGTACTCCACCTGTAATTACATGTGGTCCAAGGAATACTGAACCTTTTCATTCACATGATGAAAAATCAATTTATGCAGCCTTCCTTCATCTTGAAAAAAGTTCTGAATTCTCAAAGTTTGATAACTGAACAACTCACGATCACAAATTTCCATCTGAACCAAAGAAAGATTTAAGAACTCCAGCTTTGAAAAATTTTCAATAGGAGATGTTAAAATAAAGTAGTTCATCTCTTAAAAAGGATTAGAAATTTAATTTTCAAACCTCTACGTCTCTTCACCCACCATCCTGCAGATGGATTTTGCCTCCTCTGAGAACTTGTCTGAGTATGTTTCCTGGTCTTCCTTTACTCTCCGGTCAATCTCATCCCGTTTGACCCTTTCCTTATGCTTCCTGAACGGAGACTGTCCTTCAATCATTTCATAAATCAAGCACCCAAGACCCCACCAATCCGGGCTGAATGTGTACTTTTCGTTTTTGAGCACTTCTGGAGCTACAAAACAAAAACAAAGAAACCCCCATGACAATTCACTTTAACTAATTAAATATTGAAAAAACTCTTAGGCACTCTTCTGGCTTTGTGCAGAGATCATTGTGTAACTCCTCTATACTTTGAAGAAATCTTCATTTCTACAGCAAGGACTCTGTTTATATCCAAGAGAAACACTTAAGTTTTTTAACACTTAAGGTCAATATTGTTTATAAACTAAGAATGAAGTTTTTCCAAAGCATGGGAGGAAACATGTTGTCACAGTAATTCGCCTGCTTACCTGTGACCCTAAATCTCTTTGAACCTCAGAAAAAAATTAGGTGCTTTCTTAAAGTTCTACCTAAAGCTAGAATTTCCAGAGGTAAGTTTTCAAGTTTATCAGTAGACTTCTAATTGACTACTAACATCTACCACTGCATAACCTTTCTTCCCGTAAAAAGTGTAGTAACTAATTCAGACCAAATATAGTTCTTTGGACAAGTCATTCATGTATTCACAGAAGCAAATTTTCTAGTGAAACATAACTAGCAAAGGATACTTTACATACCCATGTAACCAACAGTCCCAACCCGTCCTCGGACTGTTTCTCCTTCTGGAATCTGCACAGCTAATCCAAGATCTGAAATTCTGATATGTCCTATTTATGTTAAAAAAAAAAATAATTACACATAGTCAGCAAATAATGAAATTTTGCTACTTTTAAACCAAAAAAATTCTGTAGCATACGTTATTAAAAAAGCCACCCCAAAACATCAAAACATTCATATACTCATACCACTAAGCTTATTTAACTTAACTAGAATGGAGTGATTTATCGTTATTCAGCTCTCCCTTAAATATGTAAAGGAAGAGAGGCACAGATCTAACTGATTTCCTGAAGGTCATACAAAAAAATTTTGTTGTTAAGTACTCTAATTCCTAGCTTTGGCATAGGCTGCTACTCTAGGACAAATAGAAATGATGACTGCTCATTTCAAATTCTGTATGTATGCATCAGACACTTGCATTTTTCTGTTCTGTATTCCCACCACAAACACTTAGCTGAGTTCCTAACAAAACATCAGAATTTACTCCGTTTGTTCCAATATGAGAAAACTGTAGCCTGTACTGAGACATCATGTTTTCCTCTAATAAAGTACCCTAATAATGCTAAGCACAAGTAACTGGAATTGCTATCCCCACTTCCACCCCAAAAGAAAAGTAGCGTAGCCATAACCTACTTAGAATTATTTATATTGTAACATGTTAGTTGAATATTAGGATTTCCCCATCTCATGAATCAGTCTAATGTAGGTAACTTCAGCTTCTATTTCACTTTATAAGCCAATCTCTCAAGCTGACTACCTTTCCTGTTCAACAGGGCATTTACAGTAGTACCTATTAATGTAAAAGCAGTCTAGTGGAAGACTACGGTTTGTTATAAACAACACTGCTCGGATAGGGAAACAGCCCAAGAAGGGCAATGGGAATAAATCCATCCCACCCTCCCTTACATTCCCATGGACAAATAAATTTCTTTGCTGGACAGACTCAACAGCAAATGATTCGAGACAGTTCAAGCCAAGAATTGTACTGATATGTTTCTAATTTAAAAATACATAATGTATTTTCTTAATAAAAAAATAAAAGGCTAGACAGAAGAAAGGACAATTACATTTTCAACTCAATTTTAAAACAGAAAAATTGACAATCATCTGTAGTAGAAAGATTCAGGGGGGAGGGAACAAAACAAAACCCACATTTATTTCTAATACTGGATGTAAGGACAGGGTAACCATCATTTACAGAAACATCACAGATTCACAGAATAATTCAGGCTGGAAGGGACTTCAGAAGGTCTCTAGTACAACCTTCTGAGCAAGCAGTCAGCCCAAAGAGTTCAAGGCTTTTTAAAATCTTGTCTAGAAAGCCTCCGAGAGCGGACACTGCATCACCTCTCTGGGTAACCTGTTCCACTGCCTGGATGTTCTTTATGCATATATTCTCTGTCATTCAAAAAGCTCTACAGCATCAGTGTTAGTTAAAAGCAAATTAATTTCTTATTTACATGTGATAAATAATCAAGGGGTGGGGAGAGAGAGTGGAGAAAGTCAAGTGCCACTCTATATACTGGCTGGAAATAACTAAATGCTCTTGAGCAGCAAATGCTATTTTAAATATGCTCAGATGCTCTTCTATTCCTGGACATCTGATGAACCCCTTTTCAAGTGCAGGATCTGAGCTCCTGAAGCGATTTTCTAATTAGTCCCCTCTGCTCTCTGGAACAAGATCAGAATATCTCTGGCAAAGAGAAAGCATTCTCGTGCAGTCCTGCAAGGCCGCATCTTTCCTCCAAGAAGCCTTCAGCTTTTGCAAGACATCGCTGGAGAGAAAAATTAAAGAATGCATTTGATGTCTAGCAAAGCTTTAGCTCTTGGAAAGTGACTTCCCCCAAGCATCATCTTTTTAGAAATTTATCAGTCAGAACATGCTGACTTTAAAAAAAATAAATTGTGCTAATGACTTCAAAAACAGTTTTTCGTTAACTAAAATACTCAGCAATTACAACAACAAACAGGTAGTATTCATCCACAGCTTAGAAGAAGGTAATTGCTGCATATGTTCTACAGTGAATTCAAAAAGAGTCTGATAAATTTTATACAAAGTCATTAAAGGAAATTAACTTGGCTTTTGAAAAACAAAAACCTACAAACACTTCTTCATATTGTTTGTACTTCCTTGGTTCCTTCTGGCCACATATGCATCAGTAACCATCAGGCCTGTTTTAGTTGAACCATTAACACAGAGATGCTTCAGTTTTCTTTGCTTCTTTATTGCTTAATTATAGTTTACTAAGTAAAATTCTGGCCCCAAATCTCAGAAATCATGTTTCCATAGTCAAAAGAAAAGACAAAGAGAGACAAAAATCCGTAAAAATGTTTAGACATCTTAAACCGAAAAGGGAGGAAGAAAGAGGAGCAAAAGGGTAAAAGTAGCCATTTTAAAGTGGGAAATTGACCCCTCAAACATCGTTATCATCACCCCTCAAAACCCCACTATCTTCCCCTACTTTCTAAAAAGCAAGGGCAGTTTTTTATTTACTAATTAAAGTTAACATTTGTCAGTCAGGTCCCTTTTATTATGAAAAAATCCCTATGATTTCTGGCACAGTATTAATTAGATTTGTAATTCCCAATGTCAAAATTAATTTTAATATTTACTTACCACAGTCATCAAGAAGTATATTCTCAGGCTTCAAGTCTCTACAAATTAAACAGAACAGAAGTGTGAATTATACAAAGGCAAAATTATTAGCCATTATCAAGTGCAACTGAGGCAACATAAGACTTCTTGGTTCTGATTAAAGCGATTATTCCAGTTTCCACCTATATAGAAAAGAAAAAGTTGTGAATTTAAGGACCTATACTCCAAATAGTTTAACCATAGAACTCAAGATTCATTTTTTCCCCAACTCTCTAATCCATTTTCATTAACAGCAACAATTAATATTTCACAGATTAAAAGATAGAAAGAACCACTAACTAACACTCGAATTTATGCTCATAAGTGAAAGTGATTTCTCCCGAGAGTGTCAGCCATACAACTCCACAATGGTAAAGCACATTAGTGCTTGCTGCAGTCTGATCCTGACCCCTTGCTATATTCCATCCCAGGGTATCAAATTATCAACAAAGTAATACTCCCATGACTAAGCATAGTCTTAATACCACCCATTCTAACTCAATTTCATTAATTTGGATATGCAGCTTCGAAAGCATACTAGACACTTGTATTTCATTAGGATTCTTTGCAATCAACTTTCTAAGAGTGTCTACTACTTTTCCATAAACATCAAAGTTTCACATGAAACATTTTTTAGCTATTAAATGCTAGCAAGACTCAGGAAATAGCAAAAAGGGCAATTAATTCACTGTTGCTATTCTGCATTTTATAGGCATCTCCTTGCTCATTTTTACTTTAAGAACAAAAGAAGAAACTCAATGGGATATTTGAATTTCCTCCCCAAAAATCTGGGGAGTCACTGAAGCTGAATCAGCTGTTCAGAGGTTACTTCTAGGATTTCACAGAATTCACAGAATTGTTAGGGTTGGAAGGGACCTCTGGAGATCATCTAGTCCAACCCCCCTGCCAGAGCAGGGTCACGTACAGCACGTTACACAGGACAGCGTCCAGGCGGGTTTTGAATGTCTCCAGAGTGGGAGACTCCACCACCTCTCTGGGCAGCCTGTTCCAGTGCTCCACTACCCTCAAAGTAAAGAAGTTCCTTCTCATGTTAAGATGGAACTTCCTATGTTCAAGTTTATGCCCATTACCCCTCGTCCTATCACTGGGCGCCACTGAAAAAAGACTACTCCCATCCCCCTGGCATCCTCCCATTAAGTATTTGTATGTATTAATAAGATCCCCCCTCAATCCTCTAGCAGATTCTACTGAGAACATACATATTTTGTACATATTATATATATGCACAGAATATATGTATAAAACATATTATATATATATTATACGTAATTGTGATATGCATCAGAAAGTATGTGGACTGCAATACAGTCTCTTAGATTTATTCCACCATAAATACCGTAAGGCCAGAAATAGACAAGCAAAAATCAGTACTTGGCTAAAGATTCGGTTATTAATGGAATAGACTATTAAAACCAATATTTTCCTATATGGATATATGTACAGTTGTGAGAAAAACAGTTATTCATATACAAGCAGAAAAGACTGAATAATGTATAAGAACTGTACCAGTACCAAAAAAGATAAAGAAAATTCAGCTCAAACTTTAGGAAGAAACACATCTACTTTAAAGCAGGTAATGTATGCTCAGGTTAACTCAAGTAAGCAAGTTTAAAGAGTTTCATCTCCAAGAAGGCTGATTAAAGTCTAATCTAAAACTTAATACTTACTAGCAACATCTGCTGCTTAAGAGAAGCTAATGCTGTTCTGACATGATTTTGGTTGGTCAATAGTAAAACTTGTTCCTAGCCAAAATTCCAGCTTTTTAATGCTATTAGTTTCTAGGCCTAGCGGTTTGCGAAGAATTCAGCTTTTGGAAGCATTCAGCTATAAGTTCTAGCTCTGAGGTGCTAGCTTTGGGGTACCAGCTTTCTCCCTCTTCCCTTCCTCCACCATGACAGAGGCCAGAGTCACATTTTCTGTTGGAATACAGAGATGGTAGTCCTGCGCTGGCTACTACTGCTCAGCCACCAAGCTCAGAATGAGAGCTAGCAATCCCATTCTAGCAAAGGCAGCAGTTTTCCTTTAGGAGGGAGAAAGGTTGGAGGACTCCAAAGCTCACAAAACTAAGAGGTTCATTAAAAAGACTTAGAAATTATACATTTATTTTAAATTGGCCTAAAAAAGCACTGGTCTATTTTTGCTATAGCTCACACCAGCCTTCCTACATAGAATCTTTTTGGATAAAAATTCATCTGGGGATTTCACTGTAAAGATTTCTACTCTGAGCATGGGTGTGAGGCAGGCAAGGAGTTATTTGTTTTATCCACTACAGCTTCAACAGGTCTTTGAGCCTGATCTTTGACCTTCCAGGCACATTCAGTGGTGCAACAGGCACCTACGTGAGCTCGTGAGGAAAATTTAGGTATCCAAGCAGTTCATCTGATAAAGAACACTACCATCCTTGAGGAGTCAGGTAACTCCTGCAGGAAAAATCCAGCAATTAAGTCTCTCTTGGAAAGCAGGCACTTGTTCCCCACTCTGTCTTATACAAATCCTGACTTTGCCCTAAGTATTATCAGACTTTTTACGTAGCAGATGGAAGAATAGCTCCACTACTGCCTGTTCCTGTCTGTTTGCTTATTTTTCTAATGTCAGCAACATATGGCAAGTTACAGAGAGTTTCACAAGCTACCACTGAACAAGCAAACTGGCTCAATTGCTGTCACAGGGCAGTGCAGAGCCCTCCTTCCAGCTCTGCATCTGTTCTTTCAAGCCCGTGGGAACCCCACTAACAACATGGCACAACTGACTCCAGGGTCCTCCAGACAGCACCAACGCCACTGCTTGAAATGCAGTAATAACTGCTATAAAGACACATGAAACACAATAAAAATTGGTGTTAATGGAGAGGAAGTTAGGCCTAAGTTGTCCACTTTATGAGGCATTTTGCTACTGATGGCAACACATCCCAAATATAATAAATTTATAATAAAACGTTAAAACTGCTATTCTAGAACTGAACAAACTGAGAACATGAACTGATTTTTACACCCGTCTGCACTGAGGATTTCTATTTTCAGAAGTTCTGAATTTCCCTTCTTCCACTGCCTCTACAGTACATTTTACTGTGAATATACAGATGGAAAGCCAGAAAAACACGTTCTCAAGCAAATATTTTACAACAGTCTGTTACAGAATTAGAGTCCACTTTAACAGTTAAAGCTATTTGTCTAAAAAGAGTTTTAAAACTCCTTCTTTAAAGCTGGAAATCAAATGCAGTAATAGATCTTGAAATACGGCAACAAGAAAAATAAGTAGCTCCAATTTCAGAAATTAATTAATTCATTAATTAAATGCTTTCAAAATGACAGCAAAATAAAAAAAACATTCCTTCTGTATTTTCTTGCCCTGGAGAATGAAAAATACTAGTTACCATAATTTGGAAATTAAATCACTGAATCAATGAAAATGTGCTTCATTATGTTCTCTCCCCCACAACAACATTAAGACTGGAGGTTGCCAGCATAACTTCATTGGTGAGAATAAAATGATGGCAAATTTTCCCAAGCTTTCTGTTTCACTAATACGTAATCACGGTATTGCTGCTTAAATGCATTTCAGTTAAGATGTCTGATAGAGAATTTGGACCTCGTAACACATGACTGTAATTACTGAAATTCTGAAGATTTCTATGACCGCCTGGTTTGGCTTCTTGACTTTAAAACTGTAAAAATTACAACTACGCTCCTAAATGCATGATACAAAAAGAAATACAGATGGAAAAAACAAATCAAGGTCGTCAGAAAAAAAACTTCCCCATAGCAAAAGAAAAGAAACAAGACTTTGTTCTAGAAAAAGTTGGTCATTCGATATTAAAAAACACAGGGCTGAAAGTGATTCTACAGAAAGTGTAAAATTCTCCAAACATATTTGAGTTTTAGTACTCAAGTGCAGTTGAGTTGACATGGTATAATTAGAGTCTCTTTTTAAAAAAGTCAACTGTTTACATACTGGGCAGGAACTCCCTTAGTATGCCCTATACTGAATTGTTTGAATAATGCCTTCAGGTATTATGATTAAATTTAAGCCCTGCTTTTTCCTCCAAGCATACAAATTATTCAGTTATTAACACACGTACAGGTAACTGTCTCTTGGTCCTTCATTTTGTTATGAACTATAACTAAAAATAATTCCCATTCTTCTAATTAAGAGGCAATTTTACTCAGAGTTGGTTGTGAAACTACTGTTTTCCTTGCTCATAAATGTAAGTCCATGCAAATTCTTAATAGTTCAAAACTGATTATGTGATAGCACAAAACAGGACAGAGATCTAGACACCAAGACCGCTCCAGAAGAAACCACAACTGCTGCAAGATCTGGAATTACAGACAGAACACACAGGATTTGACATTACGTGTTTGAAGGTCTTGTAAGCAAATAGCTAACAAGTTGGGCTTAAACACAAGGGCTGTGGTGGTTTTTTTTTGTTGTTTTTGTTTTGTTCAGGGTTTTTTAGTTGTTGTTTTATATTTTAAACAATCAGTTTTGTTTTCACTTGAGCAATATGAAATGACCTACTTGTAGCTGATCGATATGAGTAGAATGATGGGCAAAACCATTCATCCTTGCTTCCCTCCTATGTGCCAAAACACACTGCGTAACATTGTAAGATTGGCCAAATTTTTTAGGGAACCACATACAACCACCAGCATAAGCCTGATTTATTCTGTGGTTCTGCCACTTTCTGCTGTGTGTATGTTAGTCTTCTATATTGGAGAGGGAAAAGACTAAGGCTCATTACATTAAAGTTATGCAAGCTTATACTTTAAATCTTCCTTGAAAACAAGTGGTACTTGGTTTTACACACAAGAAATATGAAGAAAGTGTTCTTGGTCCACCACTAAGTTTGTTTTGCTTGTTCTGTAATAATAATGCCAGGGGTTAAATGATGTATATATAGAGACAGAAAAGAGCAGCAAGATCGTACAATCTCAGTGGCAATATATGAGGCTTCTGACAGTTTCATTAATACAAAAGCAATAAAGTGTTTATTGGAGGAATCTGAAATAAAAACAGAAGAAAGAGGGCGATATGGATTATAACTGACTTTTTACCCTCTTAGGTGTAACAACGCAGCAAGGGATTTGTATAGCCTTCTATGAACTTCTACTTTAGAGTGGGCTGGAATATAATCCCATGTTCCTAAAACAACTTTTACTATGAAGTTGAAGTACAAGCTTGTTTTAGTAGAAAACAATTAATACATCCAATGCTGAACAGACATGGAAAATTGATGCCACTCACCTGTAAACAATTCTCTCCTTCTGCAAATCCTCCAGACCACAGCACAGTTCTGCAGCATAGAAAATAGCCCTTTCTTCATCAAAGCCAGGATTTCCCATGTTATATATGTGAAACTTCAAATCCCCTCCATTCATTATGGTTAATACTAAACACAGGGCATCTTTCGTCTCATATGTATAGGATAAACTAACCTAAAAATGGGGCAGGGGGAGAAGACGACCATTATTAATTCATAAACCCCGATACAATTCACAGCTCCTTTTTTTTTTTTTCCAATACAAACACCACATTAATCCTTTTTTTAAAACAAAAAAGAACAAAACAGCCAAGTAGAGAATTGTTCCTGTCCAGCACTTGAAGACAGAAAGGAATTCAGACTAATTTGCATCTATACACATACACTACACCCCCATACAAAAGTTTAGTGAGATATCTGTTTAGATACCATAGAGCTCTATCCAGATTTATTGATGATGCCCCTTAGCTGCATGTTATCTATATTACTCTTTGTAAAGATGACGTGCACATATACCTTATTTTATTAATACCTCAGGAATAATGCATTGTCAAACCATCTTCCTGAACTTCTACAAGACTCAAAGCTGCCCTACACTAGAGAAACTTAAAAAGTTATTTAAAAGATCAAACATGTAGTTTCTGTTGCTCCCTCCACCTCCCCAAATAACTGCATATTTCCCTGGCTTAGAACTTGTCAGCAGTAAAGACTTAGCATAGCTCTTTATAGTCTTTCTTCTCACTGGAACGAGGTGCTGATAGGGAAGGAAGAACACCTTTTATTTTTTTCTTCTGGTTTTAAGTAAATGTTTTTAAAGTGCATTTGAAGTTTTACAGTAGTCTTGTGAATTTAAAGAGCAACAATTTTTAAATGGTGTTATATACTGCAAAATTGAACATGTTGTTTAAGGTACAAACTCAGTTTCAATAGAAAAAGCTATGCTATGCTGATGAACATCTGGCAGGATCTTCAAAATTACCTACAGAGATCAACTAACTTGTACTAAAAGCAATGGGATTTAAACATACTTATCTAATGTAAGCTAAGCATAAGTTAGAAAAAAATCAGTAGGATTTTTTTTCACTCAATGAATGTATTTTTAAAAGCAGTACAAGTACATAAAGGTCATAACTCGGGAGTAAGTCCAAACTCTTCCTTCAGAAGCATAAATCCAATACTAAATAACAAAATGAAATAAATATACAAATCAGCTAATCAGGGCAAGGGTTCCTATTTGGTGGTTTTAAACTGTCCTGTCCAGCTATTAATGACTTGCCTTATGGCACAAGCATGACAAATTATCTACCCACTTCCAACCCAGTATTACTGCAGGTCCTAGATCTAAAGCTTCTGTGTTACTTCAAAAAAACCCAAACAGTGGACTGCAAGAGGAAAATAACTTATGCTCAATCCTATAAAGTAATTTTAAATTAAACTTTGATCAATTATTGATTTAGAATATTTACATATCTTGAAAAAATATTACTCAAAAATAGGAGGTTTACTCATATCTCTAAAACTAATTTCTGGATCAATTCAGCTAATTTCTGGATTCAATTTCAATCAAACCAAGGCCATGAGCCTTGCGAGAAAGTAACATTAGCATGTTTATATAAAAACATCATTTATAATAATTTAAAATATGTTAATGTAACTGGCCAGCAGATTCTTAATTTTTCTTTTACCCCGCAGTATTCAACAGGGCTTTTTTTTAATACATAAAGCTTATGAGAAAATATATACATACATATTTCATACATATATGTTTATAAATAACTTCCACTACCCTCTAACACAGGTACTTTAAAATCCTCTCTGAACAGCAATACAAAATTTATCAGTAAATGGATTTAAAACCAAAACAAAATGCATTTAAAATTAACATTTAAATGACAAGAATTCAATACAAAAAATAAACATTACCTGAGGGAAAGTTTACCTGGTGTATCTTTGATCATTCTAAGTTATTTCACTGCTTAGTAATTAGAGTTACAAACAGACCATAATTTAGGTGATAGTCTCAAGTTAAAGTATGAAGACTTTCATTCTGTGGAATTTCTATTTAAAAGTTATGTTAATTGTTTCACATCCAAGATACCTCTTTAAGCCTTCATTCACAGCAAAGCAATATAACTAACTTGAATTGATATACGAGTCAAATTTTGTGTTTAGCTTGAAATGTATAAGCAACATAGTAATGAATGCTATGAAAATACCTAAGAATATAAAACCTCTGCTATTAAAAGTCACAGAAATGCAGGATATGCAACTTCTAATGGCAATTAAATAACAGACTCTCATGAAGTCACCCCTTTGTAAGAGCATTTATGAATAACCTTCAAAAATGAAATTAAAAATCAATATTAATTATAAGAAAATAGGTGTATGGGAAGGAAGAAAGGGTTAAGAGAAGAAAACAGAGCGCAATGCATAGGAAGAAGAGACAGGGAAAAGAAGGAAAAAATAGGATGGAATAAAGTATATGGAATATCCTCTTTGTTAAACACATGCAAACATACTCAGTCATAAGCTGCAGCAGAAATAGAATTTAAGCGATTATTCAGGTCTGAGTACTACAGAATAACCAATTCACCTTGAAAGAGAGGACAAAGATTCAGTGGCATCAGCATGCTGAAACACAACCTAATGTTTTTGTTATAAGAGAAATAAAGTAGGCAGACTAAAACAATTCAATATCGGATAAAAAAAATCCCTCTGCATGGGCTACTTACAATCACACACAAAACATACTTCTTATTATATCAATCATTTATCTCAGCAGTCATGCATTCTCTCAATCAATAAAAAAAAGTCTTGTGCCCACAAGCTCCTGGAAGAGACTGAAATAAAGCAAAGCAAGACAAACTTCTGAGAATAAGATCAGATCAGAAGTAGATACTTACTACAAACCTACTATTCACTTTTTCTAGAATTCTTTTTTCATTTAGAGCCATTGATTCTCCTTTCCTCTTCTTTATTCTCTTTTTTTCTAGCTTCTTACAAGCATACATTTTTCCTGTTGCCCGTACTTGACAGGCACACACCTAAAAAAGAAGGAAGGTGTGTCAGATGCCAGGGCATTTTTTAGAATTATTTTTTTTCAAGAGGATAAAATTTTATTTTCTTTTTTCACTCTTGAATGCTCTCAGAAAATGAAGGTCTGTAAGCTTCAATACAGAGCTTTCACCCATGAAAAAACTATGAAGGGTCACAAAAGCTGTAACAGAAGTAGAAAAAATTATTATGAAGGAGCAAACCCGTTTTTGTTGGGGTTGAATAGTTCAGTAAAACTGTGGATCTTGTGTTGGTGAAAAACTTCACTGTGGTAATAGTATATGTCTACACAAGCAGGACAGAGGACAAACATCCATGCCATAAACAAGCGGGAGAAAGATGATAATTTAGTAACCCTCCTTCCTCTTCAATACAGGGCTCTAGTTAAAGCACGCAGGGGGAAAAAACCCAATGAATTATGAACAGAATGAATAAAATCTATAGATTTTCCTATCAGGTTCATGAATATTCTACATAATTATTAAGTAGAAACTACATTCTCATTGCCAAATGGAATTTCTAAACAGAAGCAACTGTTGTTAGTGCAAATTTTCTCCAACTTTGTGCATGACCTACAGTACTGAAACTAACACATTAAATGAAAAGTTTGGATTGATGACAGTTTGCCAGGTGACGTGTCAAACAGATTGTTAGAGTCAAGAGTTAAAAAGCTGCTCTTCTGTATTAACCTTTTGTTTTTTTTTCTTAAAGATTGCCTCCAGAAAGATATATCTGTACTCACCTCTCCAAATCCACCTTTGCCTAGTACTCGATAATGCCTAAATGTGTGTTTCGTTACTGGTTGCCTGATTAACAGAAAGAAACAATTACTGCAACAGGAATTACAAGAGTTAGCAATGCCCTCCCCACCCCGACGTGTATCTTCATTTTCTCCTTCCTGTTGTATGACATCTTACTGAATAACAGTTGCCTTGACCTCATGAAGAGAGTATTATAAGAAGCTGAATTTCAAATGAAAGGGGTGTTCTGATTAGAAACATTGGCTCCCTCATGTGGTCATCAGACATTCACAACAGCGGGGAAAAAAAGCTGATCAATCAGGCCCTGTGCTGTTTACAGTTAGAGCCTTATCTAGTCTCATTAATGGTCAATTTAGCACCTCCAGTTGTCTCCCTTAGTTGCCATACACATGTAGGCTGCGTTTCAATGAGATCATGCTTACAATGCAGCATTTCAAAGGTAAACCATTTCTGATTTTGCTTTGCTGTTTCCATTTTTCAAAAAAGAAAGCGTTGAGGTATGCAACAGCAGTTCACAAGCCAAATTGTTAAGGTATTGATGTAGTGGAAGAGGAACAGATAACCTGAGGCAGTAAAGGTGTCACCCATTCTGTGCTATAACACTCCTAATCACGAGCAGGGCTATTTCATGGTGGTGGGTTTTGGTTTGTTTTTGTTTTGTTTTTTAAAGAGCAGTCATTGTTAATGCAGCTTTGTTCTCAGGACAACGAATGGAATTTCATTTGGTAGAGAATTTTGTTTAATTGTTTGAGTAACTTCCCTAGTTCTCTTCCTGGCTTTTGCTACTAATTCAGTCAAATAAAGACACTGGATAATTGGAATTTACCATAAAATTAATGCTCGAGCACCTTAGTTTTTGAATACGTGATCATGATGCCCAGCAGTGCTGAATTAGAATCAATTTGTACCAATTTCAGCCTTCTGAAAAAGTCTGGACACTCATTTAGCATTGATTTAAAAGCCCAAACTAGATTCTGATATAGACAAATCTTGCAGCATTGTAATTACTAGAACTGTGTCTGTACCACCCTGAAAAACTGAGTAGTTAAATCAATCACCCAGTGGGTTATACTCTGCTTATTAACCACTAATTAGACCAAGTTTGAAACTAAAGTATGATAGCATTTCCAAGAAAGATTGGTATATCTCTGCATGCTTGACAGCCAAACATATACCCACACGATAATAAATCTGCATTTACCCAATACAAATTTACCACTTAAAGACTCCTGGACAGCTATTTCCTTTGGAGTATTGGCTCTCTTGCTGTCCCATCAACATCAACCTTTACATTTTGTCTTTTAGATCATAATTTCTTAGACAGGCAGTGTCATTCATTAGGGCTCTACAGCATTTCTAACATAACAAACAGAATTGGCCACAAAGCAAAGCAAAATTATAATGTAAACATTATAAACAAACTTACTTTTCCAGCCATTTCCACTGTAAAAAACGGGAAAAATACACACTTTCTTGGTAAGCTTCAAAGGGTCTTCTGCTTAGGTATTCATGGACGATTCTAGCAACAGGAAAATAAAATCAATCTTATACTGAGAAAACTGATGAAGCAAGAAGTGCTATCAACCTAGTAAAATATACTTAAACATATCAGTCAAGCTGCAGGCAGAAAAACATTGTCACTGCACTCTACAATGGTTTTAACCTAGATGTCCCACAAAATGAGTGCCTGTCACAGAAAAGTGTTCCTGTCAAAACACTAGTGAATGCTAAACTACTGTTACCTATAGTAACTACAAAGTTTGACCTCTGCATTCTCATTAAGTGTCTTCAAGCCCACCTAAACATCAGCCTCTCAGTAGCTATGCAATGCATGTGTGACCCCACAAATATGACCTCTGAAAGGTACTTACAGGAAAGCATCTACAATTTTTCATACGTTATTTGGAGACTGGTAAGTAAAATTTTATTCTAGAATTTGAAATTGAAATACTAAATGCCATATCCAACCTGAACACCAGGTACCTTATTATTGCCCTTGAAGTAAACGCACTGTGGAGGAGTGGGGAGGAGAGAAAAAAAAAAAAAAAAAAAAATCATTCAGACTGTATTCAGATATTAACTGGGCAGAGGAAAAGGGATGACCTACATGGCAGATCCTCCATTTGAGACTTGTTTTACTAGGTGTTCTCACACATCCCTTTCAATCTTATAATCTCAGGTTGTTATAAAGTATGCTTATTTTTGTTGCCAGGGAGATGACCCAAGCAGTGACAAAACGCGTTGTAATCCTTCAGACATGATCAAGCATGCCTTGAAGAACCAGTAATATCAGAAACATAAAGGCTTTAGAAAGACATGCAACACTGGTAAACATGTACCATCCCTCCAAGAAAAGCCTTCTCTGCTGCTGTGTGAAATACCACTTCATGACTTCAGAACAAAACCAAGTTGTCTTTGTTTGGGTTAGCTATCACAAACCATCCTCTAACCAGCCATCTCAATGAAACATAACTGTTGGCCTCAGCTCAACCCGTTATCAAAAGCTATAAATTATGTAACATTGTTCAGACATCTTTCAAGCTCCAGTTTATAACTTCATATTTTTCTAAGTACCTTCACCATGGAAGAGGAGTCACTCAAAAGGTAAGAATATAATAAAGAGAAATACCATTCTAACTTAAACAATACTTGGTAGCGGATAATAGTGTGATTTTATGCAAAAATGGCATTGAAGATAAAGCTCTGCAAAAGTCAAACGTCTACATCACATCTGAAGGAAACCTAGTCCTTTAATAAATCTGTTCCAAATTTCTTACCAAACTCATTCCAGAGACCAAATACTCCTGAGTGTAATAACTTAATCTTTCATTTCTCTCAGAAACATATGAATTTCTTGTGTGATACTCAAACTTAGCACTATGCATTTTTAACTTACCTAGTACAGTCCATAAAAAGATCCTTAGAAGGGTTCTTTTCCAGTCTTGATTTACATTCATTTACTGTTTCCTGAGGTATTTCTGGCAAGTGTGCTGCAGACTTTATATCATTAAAAAAAAAAAAAAAAAAAAAAAAAAAAAGAGGGGGGGGGCAACAATGAAAGAAATCTTGTAAATCAATAGAACGAGTAAAAGTTCTGTATTCAAAGTGAAATGAAATCTGCTAATACAGAAAAGGAAAGGAATGGTTTGGCTAAAGAGGAAACCAAGAAAGTCAGATTCAGGCAAAATTTTTACTTGTTCTCTATTACAGAAAAATGCACTGAAAGCTATTACAGTTATTTACTATTTCAGTATCCAGGGAAACAAACTTGGCAAGAACTTGAATTTCTTTTCATAAGTCTACCACCACAAATGCAAGTTACCTACTTGTTTCTGGCAGGATGAAAGGAAGGTGAAACACACACAATTTGGGAAACTATTGCAAACCAGCTCAAAGAAATCTCTTTTTTTTTTTTTTTTTGGCAAAAACTTATGGTAGTGCCAAAGAAAGTATCGGAAGAAATGTGGTAAACTTGGAGTCTTTCTGTTTTTAAGGCATCTGCAAGACCTTCATTTGGAGTAAAGTCTTCTCCAGATTACCGAAGTAAGAGAAGCAGAAGGAGCATCTATTCATAGAAAGCAAACATCTAATTATATCTCCACAGAAAAGCTTCTATTGGATACCAAAGAACAGACTCTTACAAGTCAATCAGTGAGATCTAATATATGCCAAAGATTGGCTATTAATGATCTCCATGCAAAAGACAGAGAAACAGAATGTTCTGGAACAAAACAAAACAGCATTTCACTTTATGAAAACCTGCAGCAATTCTGAAAATTTACAACAAACCAAGGCCACACAGGAGTCTGAAAGAAGCCTGAGAATTTCAAGAATTCCTCGTTCTCATGTCTTCAGAGACATGAGAAAACTCTTGAGTTAATTTGTTAACAAGTTTTCTTCACATGCTACATGAGTTTGTTTAAAAATATATCTTCACTTGAGACCAATATTTTAATTAGAAAACAGCAGAATAAATCGTAATGATAGCAGTCATAAAAGCAGAGATTAGTCAAGGTTTTTGCTCAAGTTGATAGAAGTCTCACAGTTTTAGAAGGCAGTATACCTTTCAGAAAGACAAAAATGGGACTAATGAAGTTTGAAAGTCAATTTACTAAAAACAATGCAACCACTTAGATCTCTGTTTATCTGACATTTACAAAACACTTGAGACAATATTTTGCAATGTAATATATTTACCCCATTAGTGAAGTACGTCTCTAAAACTTTTAGGCCACAGTCTATACGCTTTTCATCTGAAGATACCTCATATTCTGCCTAGGGGAATGAAATTGAAAATTAAATTATGTTCAGAACTATTTGGCACTATGCTCTTTTACACGATGTTAGGTAAGTTGTGCCATGAATACCACAATGCTCCTAATATAAAAGGAAATGAAGGCTCTCATTGTTTAAAATCTATTTAAAGATTTTTAGACTACGTAGTGAAATATGTATTAAGAACAGCCCTAAAAAAAAAAAAAACCCACACATGGAATTTAACTTTTGGAAAACATAAAAAACTAACAATTAGTCTGAATGCAATTAAAGAAACTACATCCTAGAGGTTAAAGTAGATCAATTACAATGAAATAGTATTTACATCGTATGGTAGGACAGAATGGTCCAGATAGGAAATAATTAAATGAGTATAATAATCAGCTTTTTCTTCATTGTGTTATTTTTTTTCCCTCATGTATTTTTCTTTACTACAGTCTTGGGTAAAACCAGGATAAAACTACTACTTTCCAGAAGGTCATGTTAACTGGAAATAAACAAGATCTAAACCAAACCCTACTTCGTTCTTTAAAACCGAGCAGATACAAAATTTTGTGAAGTTTTTCACTTAGTAATATGTGGTACTGTGATGTAAAAAAGACCACTGTGCAATGCAGTGCATTTTGCAGATAAACAACTGGCGGCTTAACAGAGCTCCAGAGGTAGCTACCTATGGAAAGAACAAACAAACAAACAAACAGATACTAGTATTGAAAAACTCCAAGGACTGCTTACTATTAATAATTTTAAGGAATAACCTAGAAGCGCACATCAGAAGTCACAACATTTAAATATAACAAAGAATCTGGGGAAAGATGAATTAAGGAAAGAGCAATCTCAAACAGCAACCTGTATTAGCTTCGTAAGCTGGGCCAACTCAATCAAAGCTTATTTCATATCTCAGAATGTAAAAGCACGCACCTAGGAAAAAAGAATATATGGCAGACCTCCAGAACACACTACAAAACAACAGTTTGGCATACTGGGACAACAATCATTAAGAACCTCATAGGAACTTCCAAGTGATTGATCTAATCAAATGAGAAGTTACATATCTGTATAAAGAAAACTAAACCAATGAAAAATTACAGTTCAAGAACCAAGCACACACACACACAATACTGAAAAGAACAGAATCCCTGAACTCCAGTTCTGCAATCAATTGCAACTAACCCACAATGAGTCACTACTAAGTCATCAACATCTTTTCAGCTGAAACATTATGGTATCAACCGCTTCAGCACAGTACTCAAATCCATAAACAATTGCAAGCCATTGTTTTTGTTACTTCAATTCTGCCACAATCAGTCTACTGGTAAGGAATCCTTCTGCAACTACCAAACAGCCTGAGCAGGTTAGAAAAGTTAATCAACCACAGCAGTGCACTTACCACCTTTAACATTTTCAATTATGCCAAAGTAGTCACTAATTTAATACAAACAGTTAAGCATACTGTTTTAAGCAGATACTGTAATTTAAAAGGAAGTTTAAGAGACAGCCTTGTCAACTAATTTCTGTTACTCGCAGCGCTTAAGAGGGAAGTTTGAGCTGTCACCCACTCTTTTTCATACTTGAGTAACCTTGTCCCCAGCTAGTGAAATGAGTCACTAGATGACTGGATAACTGTAATTCCTCACTTTAATTTCTGACACTTTTATTCAATTATTTCACAACTCTTCTTTCTGTAAAGCCAAGCTGACTCCAGACTTTAAGGTCACACCTTCTCAAGAGTTAAAGCTTACCAGTGTTAGTACTCAGTACAGGTAGACGACATAGCATTGTACTACCTTGGTTTGCCATTTTGGCCTCCTGAAATAATTATGCTGCTGCAATCACATTGCTCCATATACGAGAGTGAGAAAACTCTTTTAATTAAGATTCAAGGCTCTTAAGACTATGGCATTTCATGCCAGAAATTTTATTTTCAGAAATATTAAGTCTAAAACTTATTTAAAATTAAAAAAAGATTAAAAATTGGTAAAACCTGAAGTAAAGACCCCACAACCTTAGCCTTTTCCTTCACATGACTGCCTTACACACAAAACCAACAAAAAAACCTTTAACCCCACCCCAAAAAAAGCTTGTACCAGCTTGCTGAAAGTCCAGTCCAGAAAAGGCGATCATGCCTAAGATTTTGCTACTCCTTATCTAAGCTTTTAAGTATTAAAAATGTGCACAGAAGTTGTAACCATTAAGGGTACATCCACAGTTGTCAGTGGTCTCCCCATTGTGCAATGCTCATTAAAGGCTCTGGTTTACATTCACTTCAGGGTATTTAGCTCTATGGTTCTGGATTTCCATTCAATCCGTTCTGTCTCCAACTATCAAACTGGTCTCTGGAATTTGGTGCTAGAACAGGTCCTAATAGTCACAAAAGTATGGTGAAACACACCGGGAGAATAAGCCTAATTGCACAAAGATTCATTAACATGTAAGGCAATTCTACATATTTGACATTAAAGTTCCTTTTCAGCTGATAGAGCGCCTCAGTTTATTCTCCTGTCGGGAAAATGAAGGTATGGTGAAGTGGGGGGCACAGCAATAATCCTATGTACTTCCTTATACCCTGCACCTTTCAGACCCATCTTGCATTCCGAGACAGTATTTTGGGACGAATGTAAGCAGCAGCACTACCTTATTCCTATCTTCTTTGGTCATTTGTTCCCCAAATACAAGAACAAAATGGGTGGGATGAGGAAAACTGTTCTTTTAGCAGCAATCTTAGTTTAACACTGTATCTGACTGCACCTGGATTAACTATGAGAGACAAAGAATAAAAAGCTCTGAGCTATTATTCTCCCCTCTTAAGAACTGTTAAATGCCTGGCTACTTCTCTCACTACTTTCCCCCGCCCCATGAGGGTTTTGTCTGAGGATTTTTTACAAAATGTGGCTACGGGCACACTTCCTTCCTCCACTCATTCTTTAGTGTTAGATACCAAGATGTGAATAAATCAAGAGAAAACACTTCCTTTTCCCTTGGTCTATAAAATCTGGTTTCTCTCCTTCCATAGATGGTTCCCTAAATTTCCATCTCCATTGTATTTTTTTTTTAGTTAGCACATTCTGTCTAGCCTAGAGCTTCCATGCAAGTTGCAACATTTTCAAGCCTATATTTACAACATTTTCAAGTCTGAGTATCATACGTAATATTTGTTGCATGCACATCCTTTTAGGCTAAAGAAGTCAAGCACTATGTCTTTCTGAAAATACTTCTCTCATTCCCATCATGCCCATTTTTGTAGCTCTCACCATACCAAGATGGCAGAGATTTTATAGTAAGTACATCTTCCATAAAGTAACAGAGATTTTTGACATTCATCAGAAGTTACAGCTTTACAGTTGGCATAGAGTAAATCTCACTATATTTTATAATGTATGCAGCATTAATGCACAGATGTGTTGACAGAAAATTAATATTTTATAAAAATGTTGTCTGTTAACCCTGGTAGTCAGCTAAGCGCCACACAGCCGCTCGCTCACTCCCCCCAGTGATAAACAGAATTATAGAAGTGAGTAAACTTGTGGGTTGAGATAAAGCAAAGCTGCACGCACAAGCAAAGCAAAATAAGGAATTCATTTGCTTCTTCCAATTGGTAGGCAGATGTTTAGCCATTTGTAGGAAAGCAGGGCTTCATCATCACGCTATATGGCTACTTGGCAAGACAAACAACGTAAGTCCAACTTCCCCCCTACCTCCTTCTTTCCCCCAGCTTTTATTGCTGAGCAGTGTCATATGGTATGGTCAGTTGGGGTCCCATTGGTCAGTTGGGGTCAGTGGTCCTGGCTGTATCCCCTCCCAACTTCTTGTGCCCCCCCAGCCTACTCACTGGTGGGGCAGCATAAGAAACACAGAAGGCCTCGATGCTGTGTAATCATTGTTCAGCAATAACTAAAACATCTGTGTTATTAACACTATTTTGGTCAAAAATCCAAAACATAGCACAGCGTGAGCTACGTTGAAGAAAATTAACTCTACCCCAGCAAAAATCATACAAAACCCTAACTTTTTACAAACAAAAATGTGTAAGCTATTGCCTACTGATATCCATCTCCATTTCTCACTGCTTACCACTGCATCCAGAAATTCAATGCATCTTTTCAGATCTGGTCTGGAATCACAGAACTGTCTGAAGAGAAGCCTTCCTATTGGCTGTTTGTCACAAAGCTGGTTATAGTCTCTTTCTGAGAAAGAAATAATAAGTAAATATCTTTATTTATTTTTATCTTTGTCATAGCATCATCCTTACTTGCATTTGAGAATAGGTCAGAAAATGTCACTAAAGCGTGAAGATTTTACATTAACATATTTAGCAAAGATATCAAAAACACGCAATGATCCCAAAGAATAGTGAAACGCTCACTCTCAGCCACATTTGTCTCTTATAGACTACCACATTTATTAAAAACACATTGAACGATATGGTTAAGTTTCATTTATGTTGGGGGTTGGAAAGCAACAATATTATGAAGTAGCAATCCCAAAGCAAACCAGATTGTTTGGAAAGAAGGAACACAAGATAATAACAGAAAAGGTTAAAAAAATGATTAAAAGACATTAAGAAAAAAAGTGAAATATATTACCACATCATTCAAATTGCAACATGATTCCTTTTTCTAATTCATGGCTTTGTAAATTTATCCTTTTGGAGCAGCTTCCTTTAACAAACAAGGAGCTGTGATACAGCTTTTATCTGCTCATAAATTCTCCATCACATTAAAAGTCTAATAGCTTTTTTTTTGCTAACTAGCATTTAGAAGCAAGCCAGAATAATTTCAGTTAACACCACTAAACTCTTAGCCTTCCTTCTCAAAAAAAAAATCAGACCATTCCACAGGACACCTACCGATTGAGCATCTAATACCTTCACAATGACTAATAGGTGGCAACTTCAGCATCTCTTTCCATTTTTTACTACGCCCACTCCGTTTGCCTAGAAGAAAAATATGAGTAATGTAAAACACAATACCACATCAGAAAAAACATTAAACATAACATTGACAGCATAAAATTAGGTACCTTTTGCACGTATCTGTCAGACCACTTTCCATGCTTAGAAAGAAATCTAACTACAAGGATATCCAAACCAATAACAAATTTGATACAGAAGACTTTTTATAAGAAACACTAAAAAATGCAGAAAGTCTTTTGCAAGACTAATATTTTGCTTTTTGGCTGTGCATGCAGAATATCTCTGCACAGACAAGGCAAATATCTAGGTATTCTGGAAATTGCAAACAAAACTGAACCATCAAAGACAAAACCCAGAACAATATAAGAATTATTCTTCACCAAACATGATGAAGAATGGAAGACATTAAAGCTGAGTAACAAAATACATAGAACAAAGTTCTTCAACACATTTTTGGATAATCAAGTTGTACATAAATATTCTCTTTTTAAGGGCAGTAATAGTAACAAGAGTAGAACCCACAGGTAAATGAGCGGGCATTGCTCAAATACACACCATTTATTTTAGACTATAGGAGGATACAGGATATCAGAAAGAACTTAGCTGTTGTAGGAATCAGATCTTTTCAATGCTTCAGATTTCACAGCACTAGTATTAAACTGATTTTAAAAACTACTACGGTATTTTTCCTATTGTTTCTCAAAAAATATCTGTACTCCATTTTCTATGTTAAAATTGGAATTTTACCACATTACTTTGACCTGAAGAAGACAATTCCTTTTATGTAAGATATGCACACTTGTCACAAAAGCAAAGAGATAGATAGAGGAACATATATATATATAGATACACACACACATATTTGTAACTGCAAAACATTTCAGCGGAAGAGTAATTTTTGTGCTGCAAATATTTTAAAAGAAGATTTTACTAAGTGATACGGCCAGATGCGTTTCCACATGACAAAACAGTAGCAAAACTGCACAGAAACTTTCAAACTGTACCAAAGCAGTACATACCGTTAACCACAATGGGAGAGAAAGGAAGGGAGTTACCCTATGCAACCCGAATAGAAACCAAGTAGCAAACAGTACTCAAGTCTTTCAGATTTAAATTGTTAGGGAGAAAGGAACTAATATCTTCACAATAATAAAATGTCTATTAAAAAAACCCTCTTTACTCAAACATACAGCTTCTTGAACAGTTCCACCACTGCGGTCAGAGCAGTTCCAGCTTAGTGTACCTTAGCTCATGTCAATTTTACATGATCTTTGCTAACAGGAACATTGACATCTCACTGGGCTGCAGCAACAAAATATTCTCAACTCTAGTTTCAACAGAAAAGTAAACAAATACATAATACAAAACCTTACAAAGCTAGCTTGCAGGGATTCTTTGAACTGATACCTACTGTCTACACGACCTTCTTCTGCACTTTATTTCCTAATGTTGCTTTGTAAGCCATTTGCCTTCCAAAATATTTTATAACACAAATACATCAAATCTATTTCCTCCCTAATACTTCATGCAGTACCAGAACTAATCAACGAATCTGTAATCACCAGCATCATTATAACAAACTCACATTATTTTAATGAAATATTTTTGATGTTAAAAGGAAGTTGAATATATTCTTGAAGAAAATCAAACCACACAGAGCAACGAGATGCATTTCTAACAGAACTTAACAGGAACAAAATCAACGAATACTATAACATAGATGTACATACATCCAATAGAAAAGGACTGGGTATATATTATTATGTGATCACAAAAAAAAAAAATGGACAGGAGCATCACCTAACTTTTAACCATGCAACTGAAAAATACACTAAGTTGCAAAGTCCACAGAAGTTATTTCTTCTATTAGAAACTGTCTACAAAGACTCATTTGTGCATGACACAGTGCAATCAGTATTGATTAAGAATGATAAATTGACTCAAATTTGTAACACAATGCTGTTCTGAAAAAGTAAACCTGAACTGTGATATACACCAAGTACCTCATCTTCTCAAGCACAGTCCAAAAAAAACCCAAAAACCAAACAAAAAAAAAAATCAAAAAAAGAGGATTACTGGTGCATTATACTTCAAGTCCAACACAAGAAAGTCTGCTATATTTTGCTCCAAATATTTGGCCAGTTACTTATTATGTGATCATTATGAACTAGACCATGAACTAAAGACCACATGCTAGAATGCAACTGAATTCACCATCCTATAGAAGTCAATAAAGACAACATATAATTTATTAATGATACACAAGAATCAAGTGCTTAGGAATATCAACTAAATTAATGTAGTCTCTCATTTCTCTGAACCGATTGTTCTTACTTTTACAGCAAATGCACAGAAAGAGTCCATATGCCCTAATAATGTAAAGAGAATGCATGACCTACATCATTTACGGATAAATTAGCCATTTCTGGTAAAAGTTATGGGAGGAGGCCAATTTGTTTGTCATATTATTCCCTAATTGCAAAATCCTTTTCCATTTCTGAGGCAGTTTAAAAGAAGTATCAAATCAAATTATAATAGTTGTGGTTTGTAAGTGTCTTAATATTGATTTCAGAGCTTCTATTCTGGATCTCATTCTAAAATACTTCAGATAAAATTCTTCCAGAAAGACCAACAGCTTACTTTCCAACACAGCAGCAACAAAGCCATTAGGTTAATCTGCTTTATGGTTGACCTATGTGGTTCAGATGAATTACCACTTTTGCCTGTTTCAGATGTAATTGCTGGCTAGAACAATGTCCAACTTGAAGCAACTCATCTTTTACAAAGAGAAGGGTGGATGCAGCAATACACCACTACAGTGAGGAAACACTGCAATTACATTTTCAGGTACATGAGAACCTTCCCTTCTTTTCCTCCCCAAATTACTTCTTATAGTTAGAATTTCAGCATTTACCTCTTCATATGTTTTTGCTTCTTAAAAACATACATACTAAATTCAGTTAGGTCATTGCATCAGAATTTGGTATGGGAAAGATGTTTTCATTTTTCAACTTTTTTTTTTTTTAAAACTTCAGAGAAAAATATGAAAAACTTCTGTAAGGCAAGGTGGTTGGCTTATTCATCGGTAAAAACACAACTAGCAGCAAAAAAAAAGAAACTGCTGTGGCAAAACAAAGCTATCTGGTGTAGAAACAGATTTAGTCAAATAAGGATATTTTTCAATTCATCAGACGAACTTCCCACAGGCACAGTGATCCTCCTTACAGACAGGATTTGTAGCATGACTCTCACTCCACTGAGCAGTGTTCACTGAACATTATTAGTCAGTCTTCCTTGAGACAGAAAACTTGGATTCTGTCCTATGGAATGAAAATAGTGAGAACTATCCTACCGTCTTTGGCTAATAAATGTACACAGACTGTATGTGACAAGATTCAATGGGTACTGCACTGACACTGAGATTATGCCATTGAGTTGTCCAGGGACCTCCGCACTTCAGCTTTCCTGCCTGTAAAGGGCAAGCAACGTATCTCTGTGGTTGAGAAGCACGCAGCTCCGTAGCACTAGGGGTGCGTGATTGCTACATCATTCTTGCAAAACTGATTCCACAAACCAGATTGTCAGATACCAGCTGAGAAATTCATACTAGACCACACCCAGATAAGCTCTGAAAGCATAAAACTGCAACAAGACAACGACCTACAGCATGCCTTCAGCTGCATAAATCAATCAATTGGTTCATTGAAAAATGCAAAAGAATTGATGCAGAAGCTCTACATCACCTACACTGAGATGCACAAGAATAATCCAGGTACATACACTGTCTTACAACACATCTTTCCCACAGCAGAGAAAGTTGCAGGCAAGTTTCCTAACAGATTTTAAACTCAGATGAATTCAAATATTCTCCTGCTTACAGCCACATTTTCTTTCAAACCACTCACAATAACGATTAAAACCTTTCACTGAGAAGTCAAGACATTCCTGTTTAACTATGGCCTTATGCTACAAAGACGTGTGTAAACACTGCCCACTCAGTAACAAATTTTGATGGTATGCCCTTACTGTGCAAGATACACCTTCAAGACACAAAACACTGTGGAATTGATACCTCAGGTCTTCAGATCAGAATGGTAACACTAACGTACTACTGACTTCAGGCTGGGAGAGAAGTCCACACATACCATTACTTGAGGAAGGCTGTCATGCTTCCAGTCCCAGAGACAGCTCATACAGTACTGCTTTGTGGAACGTCTGCAACCTTCTCCATTGCACAGGTCAGATACATTTTTTGACATCTCAGTTCCTTGAAAAACAAGCCTTGTCACAGCTTAACAACTAGGTTTGACAGACTGGCATCTCTTTGATAGGAAGGAAGATTTTTTTCCAGAAGTATGATACATACAATCTGGCCGGCCCTTGGCAAGTTTACCAGAATCACCGAGCTGAAAATTAAGGTTTCAGCGCAAGGTAGGCGCCTAACTCTTCAGCGTTATAAAAGCAAAGGCACTTCTGAACACAAACAGAAGCAAAAATGCAAGCAGTTCAATAAACACATAAAAGATACCTTTAGATTACAGATTGTTACTGCATTTTTAAGATAATATTCTTCACGCTCCTGGATTCAAGTGCCTAGAGTTGGACTTCAGCAAGGTAATGCTCAAGTCCTCTTGCTGGTTTAAATGTTAGAGCAGTAACACTGTAAGCAGTTAAAAACCCCTAGTATCTACGTGGACATTTGTGCAGCTTGTTTATATGCACAATCATTTATTGTTCCCACAGCTATAACCACTTGAACAACTGGTTCTTCACATCGCCTCTATATACAATTCCAGTAATCATGTGCACATTTAAGAACGGCTAGTGCATACATGCTGAACAGCTTCTGCACTTCTTCAGAAATTCGGTATCAAAGTCTTGTACCAACTCAAGTAAACTTAACTAAACTGAACCAGAATGTATTACTCTAATCTTGAACTCAAACAATGTAACATCTGTGTATACATTTCATTTTGATAGATCTAGAACAACAATTTAATGAACAGGGCTTACTAG